TTGTTGGGGAAATCAGTTTTATATGTGATTGTTGTTATCACGTACAATCTGACATACTGCATATCATAATTATTTTCCCTAGAACCTAGTACGTGATGTAAAATCAAACATTTCTCATCTGCGTTTAATTCACAATGTGTAGTCGATCTTTTTCTTATATAACCACCATAGTGTACCTTTGTGGGCACGTATATGTTATTATAAACCTCCGTCTGTTATTTAAATTCTTAGAGCCCATGATATGGGATCAATATATAATTAGGTACGCTGATTGCACACTTTATGAAGATCATTTCACGGCATTAAGGGGAGATAAGAGCTCAAATTTAATAGACTGCCGAGAAATTCTATGGATGATTGATAAAAAAGATGTTCAATATTTAAATCCACGTACTAGGTAGACTGAACTAGAAGTTCAGAAGAAGTAAACTGAATTGGAAGTTCAGAAGATAATTAATCTGCCAATATATATTGATCATAAAAAGAGTGACCACCCAAGTCCCATATATCTTCCCCAACTTGGACCGTATGTATCTACCAATGTTCCTTGACGCCAGAAGCGTGGAGACATGTCGGTATAAAAGACAAGAATCCGCGAAAAGCTAAATCTTGTAGAAAATTTTTGTCACTCTTGAAATCGTTTAAAGAAGTATGTCTTGAAGACATTCGTCCAGAAGGCGAAAACCCCCCAGTAAATTTATAGGTGCACCCAAAATCATAATACTGGGGATGCGGAATGACCAGATAAAATATCCTTGGGAAATGGCTAGAGTTTGGTTGAATTAGAAATTGCGATGAATTTTATATATATGGGAGAAATTTATTAAAAATGTTATAGTTGTCGACAACAGAATTGCCTTTACAAATTGCTCTTGTTATACGATATTCTGGATCCAGAGATAGGCACCAGTAGTGCCCTAACTTTTTTTTATGTTTAAAGGAGCAATTAAGGCATATACAGCTCAGTTCGCTAAAATTGTATTCTCTTTATAACATGTACACCATTTAATGTTAACCCTGTAGGTTATAAATGGGTGTTTGTACAAAAGAGAAATACAAACAATCTGGTGGTATGATATAAAGCGAGACTGGTAGCTTAAGGGTTTTACGCAGAAATGTTGGGCGTCGGCCGGGTTGGCTGAGTTCACCCCCTGCTCGATTCAAGACGTGGCACTGTGGCTTACCAGGGAGAGATGTGGTTAAATGGTTAATGTCCACCTACTTATCACCAATTGGTTTTAAGTAGGATATGGCAACCAGGTACCATAGAACTATGTGGTTAAGCGTGCTTAACTTTCGGCAATCCTAAGTATAGTGCAGCGCTGAGATCCAACAAGAAACCCTGAATTGATTTTGATCAAATATTCCCTCCCACAACAGATGGCATTATTTTCGCTAATTAAAATCATTGAACGTCATGACCACAAACTTATGGGTCATTAGACGCTAATATTTATTTGTAAATCCCTGATTGATTCAACACTTTTGAAATAAGGAAAGTGAAAATCGCAACGTGTATCATTAAACTACTAAAGTCTTTGTATGACTTGAATATTATTGACGGAGTGTTTTCCTCCCGAAGAAGGAATATGCAAATAATATGTACCGTTATGTGTTCGTTAACAAATTGTTAATGGAGTTATTTATTTATAATCTCAGTTGATATTGATGGTTTAAATATTATTGAAACACATAGAGGGCTTGGTGATATTAGCTCGTGCCGAAAGACGGAGTTTTGAAATAAAAGACTTGAAAATCTAAGTATTGTCTCGACCTGAAGATCGAGCTTCTCCTTGAAGAAGTTTTATACACCAGTTAGCCTACTTCAAAAATGTCTTGAAGATGTTTTATATGGATATATAAGTATCATTTACTTATCACACTAACAGTTGTCCAATAATCTCTTGAAATATATAAGGGACTATTTAGACTCAAAGATGATAGTGAGGATATTTTGGGACTAGAAGTCCATTACTTCGTTGTTATTGGAGCACTACTATAGAACTAGAAGTTCCATAGTTGCATCAGGCCTAATATTGAATTGGCGATGAAATTGCTAACAACGTTTAGTGCTCCCTCTACAATGAAATATTGGAATTGTGTTTAACATATCATCTAGCATTTTTGAGGTACAAAGATTTTGACGTTTATGTGAGAAACCAATATGTGATTTTGATGGGCTACTTGAGTACTGGCTCTTTTATTTGATCCCTATGATGCCAAGTCTCAAACTGGTTATGTTATGTTTTACCCCCAATGTCCCATAGGAGGACGAATAAAGATTGTGTTACCCAAGCAAGTAATAGGTTTGTTAAGGGGAACCTTACAAAACATATTGCACATAAGTCCTTCTACACACATGAACTTCAGAAGAGTGGTAAAATTCTTGTTGAGAAAGTTCGCCCTAGTGAATAACCGTGCTTGCATCCACTTTTGAGTAATATGTTTATAAAATTGGGATGCGTTGCTTAGAAGATTGTTATCTTCAGGGGGAGCGACGATGCCAACTAGACGAGATTGAAAAAGGCTTGATTCAAGCTCGTGTGCGCGGTCACGATGCCAAACTTCGGTATCATTTTCCAACCGGTATAGTCACTTGGTTCGGCCGAAACCGAGAGCACGAGAGGTTGTGGTGCACCGAGAGCACAACTTTCGTGCAACGGTGGCCGAAACTGGGTAAGGTCGAAAGTTGAGACCGAACCCTGCACGCCAACGGTCTGGAACCCGAAAGTTCAGACTGTTATGGGGTTGAATTCATCTATTACAGAGTTAATATCCTATTAACTCCAATTTTGAATTCTGAATTCAATTCTCAGGTAGTGCCCTGCTGTTATAGCTGTTGGAAAGCCAGCTTTAAAGTGCCATAATAAAAGCTATTTAATCCTTCAACCCTATATAATAAAGGGTAGAGGCAGTAGAGAGATACACAGAAAAATAGAACACGAAAGTTCATCATTTTTAGCCTCAAAACCTCTCTGCTTCTACTCCTTCTTCAAGCCTTACTGTCTTCATAACCGTGTCTTGCTTGCCGGATTCCTTGTTTGAGTGCTCAAACATTGAATCACTAACAAGTTTTATCCTAGGAAGCCTAGGCCACAACGCTCCTAGCATCTTTGGGAGGTGGCAAATAAGGTTTTAAGGAAAGAGTGCTCACTTGACTCTTGCAAAAATCCAACACCAAACACTAGCCAAACTTCCTCATCTTTTCTTCCCTTCTTTCCAGAAAATAATAGTAATATTTTATTTGATTATTATTTGTTTTCTACCAACGGTTCCAACACTTTTTTCCCTTAGCTAAGTTTTTCCCCACAGGGTTTTCTTATGCTAAGGTTTTTAATGAGACAATCGATGTAGGTGCACTTGAGTGGATAGTCATGAACACCCTTGAAATCTTGAAGATTATGCTCTGAAGGCATATGGTTGCACTCTTTCTCCCTTAGTTAAGTTTTTCCTCACTGGGTTTTCTTAGGCTAAGGTTTTTAATGAGGCAACCGGTGCAATACAATGGTTTAATATACTTCGTGTATTCTTTTCCTCGTCTAGTTTTTTCCCACTGGGTTTTCTAGCGAGGTTTTTAACAAGGCATGAGTATAGTTATTTAATGGTCAAGGGGGAGTGTTATATATATTAAAGCATAATGAAGTATGTAAAAAATTTTATTGTGTTCAAATTTATTGGTAAAGTTTTATATTTAATATAATTTGTGTATATATTCATTTAAACATCATTTATAATTTATTTGACTCCACATATATAAAGAGGAGAAATTAGATATAAAATAAATATAGTTGTTACATAAATAATCTTTTTCAAATGAATATGTTTTTTGTGGAGATTTTCGACAAATATCGCATGTTGTTTTATTTACAAGTTTTATTTAAATACATTAGTTATATAATTAAAGTATTTATTTCAAATTCAAATTCCTTTCAAAAAAAAAAATTCAACTTCAAATAATAATACAAGTAACAATAAACTTTATAATCAGCATAATAATAGCAAAATTAAACCTCTAAAAATATTAAATATTACATTGTATAGTTATACTTACATTTTTAATCAAATTAATTCTAAGCTCAAGAACTCAAGTACATTTTTCTGTTTTCACAACCATTACTTTCTTTGCTAATTCAGAGAATGTCAAAATTTTAATTGGTAAATTTGTTAAATTAATAATAGGTCGTGCATCGCACAGGACAATTACTAGTGATTTATAAAAACTAGACTAAAAGAGCATTTAATTTGTTAATTAAATGAATCATAAAAAGTAGAATAAAAATATTTATTTATCTTGTGAAAAAATAAAAGAGAGAAGATAATTAAAAGTGTTGCTAATGAGGTTTGAACCCATGACATAAGCATTTTATAACATAAAATTTGGAGTTCAACCAACTAAGATACTCAAATTATTGATATTTTCAATATAAATACAGATTTTATATAATATTTCATGCCCCCACAGCCAAGTCCTCTTTGTCAATGGAATCCCATTCCTGAATATAATGTTCTTTTTATTTTTTCAATTCCATTGTTAACGCTCTCCCATAATCTCCTAAATTTCAATAATAGGTGGAGCTATAACTTAGGCAAGCTAAGGGAATTCATGGTTACCAGGGATTGAACCTGAATCACCAGGCTGACAAGCAAGAATACTCACCACTATACTACAACGACTTTGACTTTCATAGTCTAAATTAACCTCTATTAGCATATATTATAATTCCATTTCCCATCTTCCGAGCATTGCAATACTTTTTTTTTTTTTTTTAAACTTAGTCTCTAATTATTAACTAGTGTTTGACCCGTGCGATGCACGGGATGTAAATTACATAAACATTAATTATGTTTATGTTATGCTAAAAATTGGTTGAAGCAATACAGTAAGAATTTGGTATATATAATCATTCATTATATTTGGGAGATCAACAAAAACCATCTCAAAATGGTATGTTAGAAATAGTATAAAGGTGATGGTAATATAAAAATAATACATTAGAAAACTACAAATTATTGAAAACTTCATGATATACAACATTAGTGGTTGAGGTTGTAGTTGAACTTGAGTCTTTTGCTATCAATATTTTGAGACCGTCTGGATTATTAACCCGAGATGCAGCTACGTACAACTGACCGTGTACAAAAACCGGTTTCTTTAGTACTAAACCTACATGGGTCAACGTTTGGCCTTGACTTTTGTTTATGGTCATTGCATATGAAAGCATCAATGGGAATTGCCTTCGTTGAAACTTGAACGGCAATCTTGGATCCGAGGGTGCCATTGACATTCGGGGGATTAACACTTTTGTACCTTTGTTGGGACCAGTCAGGATCTCGCCTTCAATCACATGATCTGCTAGCTTTGTGATTATCAACCGAGTTCCATTGCACAAACCAAGTGAATGGTCAATATTTCTCATTAACATTACTGGTGATCCGATTTTCAAGGTCAGTGTATGATTTGGTAGACCTGAAACCCGAATGCTATTTAGAAACTCCGGTGTGTGTACGTCTCCAAATATACCGTTATCGCCATCGGCTTTGCATACTGCGTCTGAACTATAGTATGACCTACTTTCGGCATTGTGCAACTCAGTCATATAGTCATTAACAGCGTTGACAACGTCGAGCGTCGGTGCTAATATGGCACGACCCAACAGGTGCTCGGGGTCAGTGTTCCCACTTGCAAACATAGGAAATGTACTGTGCACAATTGCTTTAATGTCGTCCCCCCCCGGATGATACTAACATGTGCGTTGGTATTTCAATTTCTGCAAACCCGTTATTCTGGCCACCAAGCTTCCCATCGCCAATATTGGCAATCCAGTCAGCAAACTCTTGTAACGCATGCCGGTTTCCACCATTTGGTACCGAGCTGAGCCTGAGGTTTTTAGTCAACCTTAAGACTTTGCAAGTATCCCATAGGTATGATGAATTGATCGCTGAAGAAACAATGTCTTGCCGTGTACCTTTGGGAACTCATGGAAGAATTTGACGGAGATCTCCACCCAGTACAACTGTTTTACCACCAAACGTCTTCATTTCACTATTAGGTTCTACAAAACGCAACAAATCCCGCATGGTTCTATCTAAAGCTTGAAAGCAATGTTTATGCATCATGGGAGCTTCATCCCAAATTATCAAGCTCGTCTTGATCAGCAACTCAGCCAGGTCGCTACCTTGCTTAATGTTACAGGTAGAGTCCTCATTTATTGCAATAGGTATTGCAAACCTCGAGTGTGCAGTCCGGCCACCTGGTAGCAACAAAGAAGCTATGCCACTTGAAGCGACATTTAAAATGATTTGTCCTTTGCATCTGACTGCAGCTGATAACGCTCTCCACATGAAAGTCTTTCCTGTTCCACCATAACCATAAACAAAAAATAAGCCACCCTTCTTGTTCTCAATATCTTTGGTAACAGTATCATATATGAGACCCTGTTCTTCAGTTAGTTTGGCACAAAGGACCTCAGAATCTGCCTTCAACTGTTCCGAATCGTACGACAACTCTTCAAAAACCAATCGATTTTGAAACAAACGTGAATTATCAGTACTTGGTGTTGGCATCGGGGGGTAGTCTTTTAAAGACTTGTTTTGTTGACCCAACAGGTTTTCCAGTTCAATTAATGCAAAGTTCTTTTTCTCTTCCTCTGTTAAGACCAAATCTGTTAAAGTAACACCATCAAATTAGTTATAACTATAATCTAGTAAAAATGTTGGAAAATTTATTGTATACTAAAGAAGTAACATTACCTTGTTGTTTTAATACTCTCCTTTGATAATGTTGAGCATCTTCAGACAAATGCTCCCACACTTGATTCCAAACATTTTCGGGTCTAATAATTGATGATGATGTTAGTAAGACAACAAATAGCTTCCTCAATGAATGCGCACTTGACCAATAACTTGCTTCATTTATAGCATCAATGTACTCCTTATCATCGTCTAACAATCCATGAGCATAACACGCATCTCTAAAGGTTAAGTACTCAACACCGTTAACTGTCCTAATATCTTTGTAACTTGTCGGACCACGTACTATGTTCAATAGACACCTCAAATAATATATTTCGCCTGAAGCTGGAGGCACATAGAATATTCTACCAATTGAGGAACCCTTCTTTCTTGGATGCCATTCACGGATGTCCTTCTTCCAAACAAATTTGGTAGGCATCTCGATATACGTCAGTAAACTCGCTTCTTTGAACTTCTGATTGGCTACAAACCATGCATTAAACATACTTTGCCCAACGGTTTCCCTATTGAGGACATTATCAATCGTATCATCGTCTTGGAAAACAACTGACTGGCAGTCCGACAAGTGAAAGCTTAATCGCTCAACCGGGGGAGTTCTGTACTGTACTTCAAAACTAAACAACCTCCATGTTGCCTCACATGCAGATACGTACCTGCAATCATAGTACATGTTTATCTCATCGACAATCTCGTTACCAGCTCCATCGATCATAGCCTTATAAAACTCAGCAGTGACCCGGTCGTTGCCCTTGTTTACGTACTTGAATAAGTACTTGATTGACCTGGATTGGTTACACCATTCAACATTAATATGTGATTTGTATTTCAATAGCAAGTACTGATTATGTGGTACAACATATCTATTATCCAAATCTATTCCATTTTTTTTATTGTCCTCTTATCATCCCTCCTTCGATACAACAGGTAACCATCTTGGTCAAAATGCGATGCATCAATGTATCTTTTTGGAAAATGCTTTGAACACTTGCCATTTGCCATGCACGGGGATTTCATTCGGGCAGCACCACATGGGCCGTGCAACATGAATTCTCCAACATGTTTGTAGTATTCATTCGCTGTCACCTTGTCGGGGATCTCGGCTGAAATGATCGTGTCCATAAAGCCCGGGTCAGCAAATTCGCTGTTCGCTTGAAGGAATAGTAATATGTGGGCATGCGGAAGACCACGTTTCTGGAACTCAATTGTGTATATAACTGTCAAGAGTGTATTTATATTGTCAGTTATACGGTTACTATATTAATTATTAAGGAGAACAAAAACTTCGTTTGAATTTCGTTACACACCTGCCTTTACGCGACCAAATAGTTTCCCATTTTTTATTTCCTTTATTAAACAGTCTAGCTTCATTTTGAAAACACGGCAAACAATGTCCGGGCGATCTTCAGCTTTCAAGTTTCTTTTCTCCAAGAAGCGTTCTATCTCAGGCCATTTAGGATTACATGTAAATGTAATAAAAAGATTGGGATAGCCTACAAATCTACAAATTGCCATGGCGTCTTGGTAATTTTGTATCATGTACCTTGCTCCTCCAGTGAAACTTGATGGTAATATGATTCTTTTACCTTGAGAACTGGGTTGAACTTCACCTCGCGTCAGCGCATCAGAGAGTCCTTTGTAGGCCTCACACCTCAAAGCTTTTTGATTTAACCGAATATAGAGTAACCTCGAAGATTCAACCATAGTATATGCATCAACCAAGAATTGCTGGAATAACCTTTTAGCATACATTATAGTTGAGATCTCATTTGATCTTTCGTGTATACGGAACGCGAAGTACTCTCTTTGTGAAACACTCTTTCTTGAAAAGTCTTTTTTAGTACCCTGTGTAGCAAAATGTATATCTTCCCTGAAACCATCCTCTCCATACGGAAATAATATTGGGTATTGCAATGGTAAATAAGCTGGGTTTAATTCACTTATTCGTTTCAGGACTCATGATCTAGACTCGACAATAATATCACGTTGTCCCATGTAAGGGTCTATATCTCCAACAATGAGAGCGGCAACCTCGGATGTAGTTGGAAGCGCATAAGTTCTGGCATCTTTGGTCCTCTTCCCTATTAATCTCATTCTTATCTGAGTTTGAGGATTAGATTCAATAAACGACTTGGCCATTCGGAATGACTTAACCAACACATTGTGTTCATCTAGCGTTTGCTTAATGTCGTGTACTACCTCAACATGCAATGTAGAACCATTGTTTTGCGCCCTAAACAATGAAGAATATAAAATATTAGATATTCCGTATTCAGACATGATCTAACTAAAATATAATTGATTAACACAAAGCAGTCTACCTCAAAGAGTTGAATCGATTTTCTATCTCATTTTCTGTATCGTCAATGTATAACTGGGCAAATTTAGGTTGAATTCCAACTGAAGGGACTAAGCTCCCAATGCGATGAAAATTTTGACCATTAATCCGGAATATAGGCGGTGATGTTCCGTTGTTAATAGTTCTATCAATTTTGCCACCCATGGACGTGAAGCAGAACATGTTGTTGTAGGACCGTATATTCTTTAAAAAATATTTGTTTTTTTCACTGGTTGTAAAGAATAGGTCATGCAACTTCTGAGGAGGCTTTGTCATTAATGGCAACTTTATCTTCCCATTGACACAACATGCAGAGTATTTTGGATTTTCAGAGCCCTTCGAATTGCTTGACCGTTCATTGTACCAAAAAAACGAATTACAATGCTCGCAAACATAATCTGGATCACCAATATCAAAATAATAACCTACCAGACCGCAAAAAATGTATTAGTTCGTATGTAAAATAATAATGTAAGATAGTCCCTTAATACAAACAGAAAACGTTCTGGTCATAGCATATCACAAATGAACTCACCATTATTTGGGGGCGTATTGTCCTGTAACGGTTCAACAACTTCCTGAAAATCATGCATTAGATTTCGGCAATGCTCGATGGGTCGACTCTCTGGCTCTACAACGACTATTTGCATATTATTGTCATTTGTAATACAACCGTTACTTGCAAACCCTAAAAAAACAATATGTAATTAAAAGTCAATATGATTACATATTTACTTAAACATTATAACTGCATAAATTTAAAAATCTATCCTTCTATCCCTCGATTTATGTTTATACCTATTTGCGAATTTGGTGTTCGGTTTAAGTCGAATGTGCAAGTTTGACGGTTACAGGTAGGTGTTTTGTCGTGGTCCTCATTGACTGTACCGCAGTTTGCTATAATATAACATATATTTTAGTCAAAGTTTGTTAGAATAATAATTAATCGATTTGACTATACACTCTTATTACAATATTTATTTGTGTTTGTTGAAGTTCATACTATTTGCTACGTTGCTAGATGGCATTCTGCTACTCAAATTTTTCGTTGATGTAGTATGTATTCTCCTTCGTATCGGAGAAGAAACTGTCAAAATGAAGGAATAACGACTATTATTAACAAATAAATGAGAAAGATCCTTACAAAAAAACGAACTCTAGTGTTTTATTTTAATATAAGTAATAAGTATATTATTGAATTAAAAAATTATACCTAGTTGCGAATCTGGTGATCTATTTAGGTCGAACGAACGATTGCGGCGCTTTGTACTAAGTGGTTTATCACGATCCCCCTCATCTCGAGCGCAATTTGCTTTAATTGTTTAAAAGCCACACAGAACAGATGTTAGAATGTTAAGTATAGCATTTTACAAACTCCATTCATATCATCTGCAAAACTGAAATCGAAAAGTAATGTTTGAGATTCGTACTATTTGATATGTTGCTTAGCGGTATTCTGCAACTCAACTCTTGCAGCGGTGTATGTCGAATTGTCGTACTAATTACGCTTGATGCTGTGAATTAGAGTATGAAGTTTATGTTACCAACTTATTCAATAAGGATATACACTGTTTTCTAGGCCAAACTTACCATTTGTCACAATACTTAATGGCGTACTTAGCGAACTTTGGAAAACACCAATAAGCGGTTTACTATTGACTGCACTCCGGCTGGATTCAATTGGCGACACGTAGGCTGCATCAGTGATATTACTATTCTCATTCGCTGCAACGTAAACACATATGTCTATCACATATCATACATCATTCGTTGGAACAATTTTTGACAATAATAACAAATTATACTGTAATTATCCAATGATAGTTCGTAATTGATGTCACTATTGTATTGTATAATAATACCGATAGTTTTAATCCAATATTTCAAATTTTATATTTAACCATATTATCACATTATTTTTTTCATAATATGTCATGATAATAATATTATATAATGATATATCTTTTAACCATAGGTGTTTTTATATAGCAATGTCCCGTTTTTTAGAAATAAGGAAAATGCTACTAATCTTCGTAACCGTATTATTGTTTTTATTACTAATAACCTTTAAATATTAAATTTCAAAATAATACTAAATATTATAATTACAACCAATATTTTGTTATTATAATAATCACATTAATGATTCAGACTAATATTTGGCTACCAATTATTTATAAGAACAATAATAATCAGAATATTAATAATCACAATGATAATAATAATAGAAATAATCAGAAACTTTTAGACTAATAAAATTATTAATAACATGAATAATTCAATAATAATACTAATATTAATATTAATAATAATAATAATAATAATAATAATAATAATAATAATAAAAAATAAAATGGAAATGACAGTGAGAATGGTCTCGATGATGTCGCTTTCCTAATCCCTTGAACGCTCATTGTGAGCTCATTTTGCCGGCAATCCACCTGGTTTGTCTCTCTAAAAATGGAGCTGAGTAAGGGTTTAGGGTTCGATTGGTGAGTCTCGTGTACTCTGTACTATGGATTGACAATGAAGATGATGTTTGTGTGGAGCATCGACTGACAAATAGCTCTCGGCATACTCGACGTCTGAGTGTTCATAGTACGGTCACAGCCACAAATGGGAGGTTTGATCTGGACTATCAACGCACGGTTCGCTCCAGTGAACACTATAGTCTCCGTAGTTCATGGGCACATACAGATCGGACATTTTTGGTCATAAATGTGTGCGATTGGGGTCGATGACCATTTTTCCAATTCGGTGGTTCAGCTATTCGATTTGGAAAATAACAACAAAACTGGGTATGTATTACTAACCTAATTATTCTACGCTGTTCAGATGTATATATAAATAGGGCTATTGATAGCGTTTACTTATTAAATATGTAGAAGTAATCCGATTATACAACACATGCATACGAATTTTGCTAACCGTTGAATTTTTAGGATGATTTTTAATTTGCATCGGAGAAGCTAGAATTCGTTGGTTAATAAGTATATTTTTTTAATTATTTTTTTACAGTGTGCCGAACTATTTCTTATAATCTCTATCTATATAGGAAGACAGATAGCTATAATAAAGATAGAAGTGTACTAAGATTTACCTTGGTTGTTGCTGGGATGCTTCCTCTTCGACCCAATGGTGGTTGTAGATGTAAGTTTCCTCATGTATTCTTAGGAAGATGTATTGATTAGAATAAGGAATTGTTTAGGTGGTGTTTAAAACAGCTGTTTAAACTCTCTGTGTTGATTATATAGTTGAAAAGAACTACTCAATTAATATTTGGAGACAACATTGGAAATTGGCCATTATAATGGCTTTTGGAATACTGAAAGGTTTAGTTGTGCTACTTAATGCACAGGGAAGTCCATTAACATATGTAGATGAATATTATTAGTAATTGCATTCATACGAAACTGGAATTGTCAATTTTTATTGGAATGTAAATAGGTTTCTTATTTAGTTAACATAAACTAATAAACTTTATGTCATTTTGCAGGTAGGCAGTAGTCGGTTCAAGCCCACAAATACTGATGGTTGTGATAGGATTTATTTGATAATGATCTTTGTTTGCGACTGTTGTATTTAGACATGCTTCGGGGAACCTAAAGATAAGTTTGTGCTCCATCTAATGTGCTTTACAATAAAGATACACACTACTTGCTGATATTTTTTGAGTGTTGTTAAACTATCTAATGTTAATGATGAATTAATTTGTTTAATTGTAATCCTCCACTTGCAGGTAAGCTAGTACACGTACATTGTATTTATGTCCATTAATTTGTGGATGGTTCATAGATACAAAGTTGGAGTACAGAATATTGTATATACAATTGCTTCGGACTATTAAAAGATAAGTTTTAATACCCTTGTATGGCTCAATCTGATCACGCATTCAAATGTTAGTCAATCATAATAATTTCCTTACATTGTTCGTAACCAAGAATAACTTTAAGGCAGTTATTCAGTTAATTCAAAATCCCCCAAATGCAGGTAAACTACAGATCAAAAGGTCTTCAACTAACATTACTTAAGGACGCTTGCTTTTAACCAAAATTGTTGTCAACAATTGGTAAGTCCCTAATAAGCTGTAAGATCCTAATTAATTTGCTGAAAGTCGTTTTTTAGCTTTAACGGTTGTTGATTCAACTGCAGGTAAGATGCAACATAATCTACATTGTATAAAAAGGTCATTGAGGAGATAATCAACTGTACATTGTTGTCAACAACTGGTAAGTCCCTTAGTCCTCAATTATGAGTACTGGGAAACACATTTTTACTTTAGTTTCCAACAATAGCTTTATGTCACTGATAGCTGTTACTGTACTTCATTGAAAACTAATGTTTTATATATTTTAATTAATCTAGTGTTGATATTGTGTAGTGATAAGACTATTTTTTATATACACGTGTCCCT